GTGTGGGTGTTGTTGGGGTGATGGTATGGGTGTTGTTGAGGTGATGGTGTGGGCGTTGTTGAGGTGATGTGTGGGTATTGTTGAGGTGATATGTGAGTGTTGCTGAGGTGATGGTGTGGGTGTTGTTGAGGTGATGTGTGGGTATTGTTGAGGTGATATGTGGGCGTTGTTGAGGTGATGGTGTGGGTATTGTTGAGGTGATGTGTGGGTATTGTTGAGGTGATATGTGAGCGTTGCTGAGGTGATATATGAGTGTTGCTGAGGTGATGGTGTGGGTGTTGTTGAGGTGATGTGTGGGTATTGTTGAGGTGATATGTGGGCGTTGTTGAGGTGATGGTGTGGGTATTGTTGAGGTGATGTGTGGGCGTTGTTGAGGTGATGTGTAGGTATATTGTGGTGCTTGCCTGGCTGTAATCCCAGCCCTCCAGAAGCTGGGGTAGAAATCTCAACTTCAAGGCAAGCCTGTGCTACTTTCTTAAATGCTAAAGACAGCAAGTATATAACGTGAGGAATGGGCTCTAGAGGGAGTGTGATGGAAATCAGGTAGATAGAGTAAGGGCTTGGTGCCTTTTCCAGTAAAACGTTCTTGGACTCTATTAAATGTGAGCTAGAGATTGGGTGTGTAGCTCAGTTGGTGTAGCACTTGGCTAGAGTGCAGCAGGGTGTGGTGGTGTGCAGGCTTGTAGTCACAGCACTTGGGAGGTGGAAACAGGAGAATCAGAAATTCAGAGTCATCCTCAGCTACACAGTGAGGCCAAGACCAGCCCAGGCTACATGAGACCTTGTGATTAAAAAATAAATGGCTAAATAAAAACTTAAAAGAAAAATCAAACCCTGAGCTAGTTACCAGACAGAGAATGTGATATCTGAGTTCATATTTTAACCTGTGTTTGATGCCCCGGTGAATGAATTTTTTTAGCGTGATTTGCAGTGTCTTCTGTGCTAGCTTAGTTTGGTTTCATGCAGTGCAGCGGCACTGCCCCAGCTTGGGAATTCTGTTTACTGAGCTTTCTTGGGATGACACATTCAGTATATGCCAAATTTTAGTGACAAGTAATGGCTTCCCTGTGGTTTTTCTTTATTTTCTATCTTAAAATACCAGCTGTTTAAATCTTATTGACTGATTATTAACCAGTCTAAGTATTTTAAGTATTTGTAAGTAATTAGTTTACTATGTGAATGGGTTGAGGAGTATTAAAATAGAATGTTAATTTCATCAGAAACACTTCATTTTTCTTAAAGCTTTTTTTTGTTGTTAGTGACATGCTATAGTCTAGGGGCCTTTGTTTAGTGGACTTACACAAAAATGAGTCATTTGCTACTTAAGCATTGGCCAAGGACTCAGCCTGCTGAATCCAGTTGCATCTAAGTCATACCAGTTAGTTCCATGTGGTATGCTCTAGCTACCCGCTGAAAACCTAGAACCTGGCCCACGTGCTCCTTGTGTTTAGCTATTTTAAGCTCAGCAAACCTGCTCTTCCCCTTTACCAGTGAGAACATTGGGACTGCCATAGGACCATGGGCCTACACATAGTCCTCGGCAGCCGCTGGATCTGCATCCTCCTCTTTATGTGGACCCAAACTCAGGTCCTTGTGTTTGTGTGACAAGCACTTCACTGGTTGACCCATCTCCTCAGCCTCACCTGTCCTTTTTGTTGACTGAACCCTGGGGGGGGGGACATCTACTGCTCCGTATTTTTGACAGCTTTACTGAGCTATAATCTGCTTGTAACTGAGTGTTATAGTGCTTTTCGTGTATAACTGTCCTTAAGTAACTGTGGAGAACTGGTTCCAGACAACCATGCAGTTACCAAAATCTGTAGGTAGATGTTCAAGTCCCTAATATAAGATGGCATGGTACTTGTGTGGAACTTGTGTATACTCTCTCTCCTCAGGGACACTTGTATATAACTGTGTTCTCTCTCTCTCTCTCTCTCTCTCTCTCTCTCTCTCTCTCTCTCTCTCTCTCTCTCTCTCTCTCTCTCTCTCTCCTCAGGGACACTTGTATATAACTGTGTTCTCTCTCTCTCTCTCTCTCTCTCTCTCTCTCTCTCTCTCTCTCTCTCTCTCTCTCTCTCTCTCTCCCCTCAGGGACACTTGTATATAACTGTGTTCTCTCTCTCTCTCTCTCTCTCTCTCTCTCTCTCTCTCTCTCTCTCTCTCTCTCTCTCTCTCTCTCCCCCCCTCAGGGACACTTGTATATAACTGTGTACTCTCTCTCCCCTCAGGGACACTTGTATATAACTGTATATACTCTCTCTCCTCAGGGACACTTGTATATAACTGTGTACTCTCTCTCCTCAGGGACACTTGTATATAACTGTGTACTCTCTCTCCTCAGGGACACTTGTATATAACTGTGTACTCTCTCTCTCTCCTCAGGGACACTTGTATATAACTGTGTACTCTCTCTCCTCAGGGACACTTGTATATAACTGTGTACTCTCTCTCTCTCCTCAGGGACACTTGTATATAACTGTGTACTCTCTCTCCTCAGGGATACTTGTATATAACTGTGTACACACTCTCTCTCCTCAGGGACACTTGTATATAACTGTATATACTCTCTCTCCTCAGGGACACTTGTATATAACTGTGTACTCTCTCTCCTCAGGGGCACTTGTATATAACTGTGTACACTCTCTCTCTCCTCAGGGACACTTGTATATAACTGTGTACTCTCTCTCCTCAGGGACACTTGTATATAACTGTGTACACTCTCTCTCTCCTCAGGGACACTTGTATATAACTGTGTACTCTCTCTCCTCAGGGACACTTGTATATAACTGTGTACTCTCTCTCCTCAGGGACACTTGTATATAACTGTGTACTCTCTCTCCTCAGGGACACTTGTATATAACTGTGTACACTCTCTCTCTCCTCAGGGACACTTGTATATAACTGTGTACTCTCTCTCCTCAGGGACACTTGTATATAACTGTGTACTCTCTCTCCTCAGGGACACTTGTATATAACTGTGTACACTCTCTCTCTCCTCAGGGGCACTTATATACACTCTCTGTCACACTCCCCAGTGGCACTTGTGACACCTAGAACTGTGTGAATTGTTGTTCTACTCTCATGTTCAGGGAATGACAAGGGGGGAGGGTTAGATCCTTTAGTACACAATCATTTGTTTCCAAATGGTTTCCATCTGTGGCTGATTGAATCCGTGTGTGAGAATCCAGTGGACAGGAAGGACTGACTGTCACAGTCATGAATCCAGCAACACCATCAGTTTCAGAAGGAAAGAGTAGGGACTGCACTGATCAGGGGTGCTACTAAGTGCAGTTGTAGCAGTGTAAGTTCTGGGGTGGTGTTGCGTAGTAGAACTGTTATATTCTAGAGTAGGGACTGCATTGATCAGGGGTGCTACTAAGTGCAGTTGTAGCAGTGTAAGTTCTGGGGTGGTGTTGCGTAGTAGAACTGTTATATTCTAGATCGCTCAGGAAATTAGAAGAAAGGCTTTTGAATGTTTTCACTGTAAGAAATAATGTAAGGCAGTCAGTATGTTTAACTTGATTTAAATGTGGATAAATACTTTTCATTTTCCAGCCTCAGTTAATCCACTTTGTGTAATTATAGATTTGTATGCTCTGAATATTATCTGTTAATGGATTTCTACAATAAGTAGTCTTTTGTGGCTGCTTTAAAAAAAAACAAACTATTGTTTGGAACCGAATCCAAGGCCTTATGGGTTCCATGCAGACACTACTAAAAGCTATATTCCCACTATCATGTTTCAAGGCTTATCTGTATTGTAGCTTATATCAGTACTTTATCCCTGTTCAAAAATTATATTGCATTGTAATTCTTAGATCACGCATTGGCTCATTGGTTGATGGTTGTTTTGGTTATTAGCAGTAGTCCTGATATGAGGTGTTATATATAACTCTTGATATGGACATATGTAGTATTTCTCTTCAGCATATATATGCCTGAGGATTTTCCAAACTATTCCAAAGAGGCTACAGCCTTCTGACCTCCTGACTCTACACTGTTAGAACTTTCTGCATTTGTGAAAATGCTTGGTTATATCTGACTTTTTCTGTAGGCATCTCATTGGCACACACAGAGTGGTCACTCCTTGTGACTTGGATTTGCATCTCCAGGAAAACTAAGGGTGCTGGCCATCTCCTCCAGTGCTTTTGGCAGTTTATGTTTGGAGATAGGTTTCCTCAGATATTTTGCCTACTATTTCATTTTGTTGTTCATCTTTTTATTTCTTGTTTTATGCTTTTATGAAGATCTTACTTTTAAAAATGATTTTCTTGGCAGTGCTGAGCCTCGAGTCCTGGGTCTTGTGCATTGTAGGCGAGCACTGCCCCTGGGCTTATGTCCCCAGGCCACAGGACTATGGATGTTGAGGGAGGCCAAAGGTGTTGGCGTTACAGGTGGCTGTGAGTGCCCACTTCTGTAGACAAAGGTGGATTACCTATAATCTGCTTACATTAAAGTATTAAAGGTGACCTGTCCAATACACACGCCCTCCACCCTTAGCCGTTGGGATGTTAAGGGCAGTAGCAGACAGAGGCCTTGTTTACCGGCGTTCTCTAAAGTCCTCTCCTGATCCCTCGTGGCTGTGCTTCCTGGCTCTCTGGGAGAAGTCCTGCTTCACTAGGTTTAGCTCAAACTCATTACTACTGGAAAACCAACCACATTCTAGTCAAGTGTGAATTAAATTCCATGCTTAATGAAAGAAAAGCCCTCATCTTAAGACTAGCATTCAGACGATTTTGTTTTCTTCCAGTTTTAGATAAGAAACAGCCAGGAACAAGTTGCCCAGAAGGTACATACAATTCTCAGACTTAGCACCATCTAAGCTTTGATTTCTGTTAAGTTTCTTGGTGTCCTAGAACCGTAGGCGGGACGCCCTCGTGGTTTTTGGCATGGTGTTAGGCACATAGTTAATATGGGACAAGTTCAGTGTGCGCTCAGATGGCAAGGTAAGACTTCTCCAGGTCCGTCTGTTGACCGCGTTTCTTCTCTTCTGCCCACAGGTATCTCAGACGAAGAAATTATCAACATCACTCTTCCCACCGGAGTGCCGATTCTGCTGGAGTTGGACGAGAACCTGCGTGCTATTGGACCTCATCAGTTCCTGGGTGACCAGGAGGCCATCCAGGCAGCCATTAAGAAAGTGGATGACCAAGGAAAAGTGAAGCAAGGCAAAAAATAAAACTTACCCGGTGTGGCCAGGAGCCAGTGCCGGAGTGGTGTTCAGTGTGTTGCTGCGTGGGTTTCTCCTTTCCCCAATGCCCCCGTTCTCCCAAGGCTAGGCTGTGTGGTAGAGTTTCTGTAGATAACCGGGTAATCTATCATGGCCCAGATAAGACCTTAGGATGCTGGAGAGCTTTTGACTTAAGCCTATGCTAACCTTTCTGCTACTCCTGTTTGAATTAAGTTATCAGTGGGGTTTGATCAAGGCTGTTTTATGAGTTTTGGAGACAGGAGAGTAGCAAGTGGAGATCAAATTGATTATCACCTAACAAGTCATTACTGAGTTACCACTGACAGGCACTGTTCCAGTGAGCAGTTCACCTTTTCATTTAGTAGTTCTGAGATGAGTGAAGACTACTAGGTAGTACTGTGGTAGTTTAGACCAGAGGCCCCTCAAATGAGAACGCCACAAACAGATCCTAGGGAAGATAGCCGAGCATCACAATAGGGCAAGGAGCTTTAATCTCTCCTAGCCCAGCGCTGCCCTGCATGCCATCAATGGAGACGGTCTTCAGCCACTAGAATGATCGGGACATGCACAGCTGTGGCTGTTTATATCCTCTTTCTGTTTCATTTTTAGTTTTTGAACTTTAATCTCTGGGTACTTAACAGTTAGTTTAAAATAAAGTTTTGTGATTGCAAACAATGTGCAAAGTGTTTGAATATGTGATAAAATTCAGGGTGGCCTCTGAAGCTGCCCTTGATACAACACACCAAGGGCTGTACTTAGTTCAACACTGGCCACTCCTGAGTTGAAGGCTGGGTTGGGGAAGGAAATTATGGTGTGTGTGATTTTAGTCTCCTGATGAGGGTGATGGGTATATGGGAGCTTCTCACATACATTTGCTGTTCCTCAGCTAAGGACGACAGATTATGGTGTGTGCCCTAGTTTAGGTGGGCTGTGAACAGGAGTGATCACTTGTCATCCTCAGGGCGCCCCTGGTCCACAGTGTGGTTTATGTGCTCCGTCAGTCATTTCCGTAAGCTGTCGCCTCGCCGAATGCAGGGCGGGTACACATTTATTTTGCAGTCACGGTAGTTACCATAGATTAGTTTACTTGTATCCATTTTATATTAAAAATTGTCTATGACAGAAACCAATCCTAAATTCTTCCTGCTGCTTGGTATCCACTTTGGTTCTTTGGTTTTTGATTCAGTGTCTTTAGGGGTTGGCAGAAAAGATGGCTGAAGCGATGCACAAGGCGTTTGGAATCTTGGAGACTTCTGTAGGGGATTTTTGCCAGCGCTTTCTAATATTTACTGTTTTTGAGATTTGACTGTAATAGATGTGAACAGAAGAGATATTAGTGGGGAAAATCATATAAAATTACTTTTAGCAAGTACGGTGCTTCAGCCTCAGGATGAGCGAGTAAAGCTATCTCCTGTGCCTTGTTAGCTTGTACCTGGGGTTTCTGGAAGGGGCCCTAACTGCATCCTAATCTTGGCCTCTTTCTGAAACTGTGACAAACGAACAATTTTTCTTCTTCTAAAGCAAAGGAAGGCAGCCGTCTGTAAATGTGGTCCCCGGAGTGTGTTGTTGTGGGTTCCCTGGGGACCAATGTGACAGGGCTCCTTTGCTGTGTCCAGTTTGGTGAGATGAGGCAAAAGCCAGGGGAGCAGCAGCGTCCCTGTGTCCAGGAGTCGTGCATCTGAGACAATGCCCACGGGGCTCTGTTCAGAGGGTGAAGGTTTTGCAGTAAGAGTAATACTGCCACTGAGATAGCAGTGCGCCCTGCATAGGGTGTTTCTAACTGTGTTGCCATGGCAACAGTGTACGAGAAAACCAGTGTGATCTCTTTCCGGGTTGGATTTTGCCTCCAGTCAGCAAGTTGTTTCTCATCTCAGACTCTGATTGAAATGTAGTGTCTTCCTTTTCTTCCCATTGCTCCTCCCAGGAGAGGGTTCAGATCAAGAATCCACCCTCAAGCCAGGTGGTGTGGCCTTCTGTCCTGGCACTCAGGAGGTAGAGGCAGAGGAAGATGGATCACTGAGTTTGAGCCCAGACTAGTCTACAGATCAAGTTCCAGGACAGGTTCCAAAGTTACATAGAGAAGTTCTGTCTCGAAAAACAAACAAACAAACAAAAGAATCCATGCTCTCCATAGACACTTTTATCCTGCAATTGTAGTTCTTTATTTTCCTAGTCCCTTTCTAATTTTGACAGAATGAACTGCAGGAAAACAGATTTACAAGACAGAAGACTCCTCATCCACAGCGTCAATTTTAGTCATTCCATAACTACACGTAAGAATTTTCACAAAGTTCAGCTCCTCCTAGAAAAGACTTCTTGTAGAAGCACCCCACCATTTCCTCAATAGGCAGATCCTGGTCATATGTTCTGGTTTTATCTCTTGTGTGATTGGTTTGTTGCAATTTTTGGGCTCACTTAATGCATCTGTTGCGTTAAACTGCCTTGTGTCACAGGAGATCTGGCTGTGACAGATGGCAGTTCAAGCTAGGGTCTCACCCTGGACTAAGAAAGAAACTGAAACCACTGAATCCAAAACCAATATAGAACATCAAAAGATAGATAATAAGACAAGTTTAGTTATCCAATATCTAATTGGCAGAATTAAAGGTTGAACTGAAGTGATTCTGTAACTGGTAGCTGTATTTATTCAAGAGTGCTGTAGATGAATGTGTCCCTCCAGAAGATGTGTTAGAAGCATAAAATTCCAGCGTTGATGGTTTTTTTTGGGGGGGGGATTAGGTTATTAAGTTTATTTGAAGTCATGAGAGTGGGGCAGAGGGTGGCTTTCTTGGCTCTATCTTAAGAGAGAGACCTGAACTGTCTTTCTTACATATTCCGCTGTGTAAAGTTAGGCTCTCACCAGACCCTAGCAGCATGCTTTTGGTCCTTCTAGACCCCAGAACCATGAGGTAAATTCACCATTTTTACAAGCAGTAAGCAAAGAAACAGAGATGAAGACTGGGTGATCTAGCTATTAGTCTTTAATAGTTTAGAACCAGAAGCAGAACCCAAAATGTGCTGTTACTTTGACTGGTCTTTGCTTGTAGCAGTGGCTGTCTGTCTGTCTGTCTGTCTGTCTGTCTGTCTGTCTGCCTGTCTGTGTCTGTCTTGAGACAGGATCTCTCACTGGTCTGGAGATCAGGAAGCAGGCTAGATGCTCTGACCATTTCTTCACCTCCCCAGAACTGGGATTAGAAATGTGTACCATCGTACTTGGCTTGGAAAAAAAAAAAAAAAAAAAAAACAGAACAAGCAAACAAAAAACCATGGGTTCTGTGGCTCAGACTTAGCACTTTAATGCTTTCTCCCCAGTTTCTACTTTGACTAAGTTTTAGAAACATGCTACCAAGCAACACTACTGCGTGTGTATACATAATACAACATGGCTTAATCCCCTCTTATTTGAGTTGGAGCTGACCATTTATTGTAAATGATCAATACATTAAAAATATTTTCATTACAAAAAATGTAATATCCATGTAAGTAGAGCATTTATGAAGCATAAAGAGCACTTGTGGTGGACACATAAGTCAAGTGTCAACTTAACAACCACGACTGTGTTCCTTTCATTTCTTTCCTCCATTCCCCACTGGCTTTGTTGAAACAAAACAAACAGCAAAGACGATACATTTTAAAAAGGCAAAGAGCTCAAGTGGTCTTTTCAGGTAAAGCGGAAGTTGCCTGTTCGTGCGCCCTGTTGGTGCTCTATAGAGTACCAAGGCAGAACTCTACATAGAGTATAAAATGCAACCAAGGAAAGCGTGACAACTCAAGTCTTGATCTGTACATGGTCTCCATGATTTCTGGCTGCTGCCGAGAGGCGTCTCAGCTTGCTAGGTGTGGCTTCTGGAGGACCATTGGGTACCTCCAACATGAAATGTGTTTAGAGATAATGTTGCAGACTCTTCTTAGCCTGTGTGTGATTTGTATGTGATTACCTCCAGATGGCACTGTGACGACTGTGTCCCTGAAATGACTTCCTAGTATTAAAGGTGAGTAAGTTTACCAGTATTGTAAATCTGACACCATCATGGGAGAAGAGAGACACAAGACAGAAAAAGGCAATTTGGGCCCTTGGCTACTGGATTTGGACTGGAAGCCTTTGTGTGAACATGTGTATGTATTTTCATGTGCTGCCACCGCCCTGCCAACTTGCTGCTCTGAAAGGGCCGAGCAGCATAACCCACTAACCCTCAGCACACCTGCTTCCCTTTGCTCTTAGTTCCTGAGTACACACAACTGGGAACGTTTAGGGAATCGGTTCCAGATCTGAAACAGATGATGCACAAGGTCTCTACACCAGGAAGAACAGAGAGACATGTCCCAAGACTGATGGGACACAAAAGTTGACTTAAAGAAACAAACTTGAGATAATTTAAGAAAATTCATTTTAAAAACACTGGTGATGATAGTGATGCGTTATAGGACATCGACTTTTAAAAATCACCAATAAAATGGTGGATTTTAAAGACAGAAACAAAACGCTACACTCTTCTAAAGTATAAACATAACTGACAGGAGAAGACACTCGATAAATACAATTTTGTGTTGACTTCAGTCCTTCGCTTTGCTTGATTATGTGAAAGGCTAGATAAAGGCAGCTGGTTTCTGTCCCCTCTGTCTCGAACTCCCCTTGGTAGATAAGGGAAATAGAAAATGTGTTAACATTTATTATCTAGGGTGTACATTATCTATTCAGATGGCTGTGAAGGTAAAGGCATTTACGGTCAAGCCTATGGACATGGTGGGCAGAGAGAACCAACCCCTAACTTGTCTTCTGCTTCCCACATGCATGTTGTAGCACGCATACGCACACGCACTAAGGACATACAAGAGAAGAGTGGTTACATAGTCGTTCCCTTTTCCGTTTCTTTGCTTTTGAAGCTTCCGCTGTGTGTCAGACCGAATTAGCTCGTCTGCTGGTGGAACACATCAGAACATCGTTGTGATTGACACCTTTCACTTGAAGAGTAATGGAGTTTCTCTCCTGGTGCAAACGTATATGCCCTTGCTCCTTAGCATCTTGGCGGGACATGACTTCTTGGTGCTACCCCATGGCACCTAAATTCTACTTAATTGCTGGGCCTCCATTCCCTTGAATTTGAGCTCCCCACAGCGGGCACCTCTCAGATGTCCCTTGTGTCACTTAGCTCGGTGACATAATCCAGCTTGAATGTAAGTGACTTGGAAACAGCCATCATTCCTGCTGCTCCATTCACCCGCTGCTGAGACGTCTGAGGGTCACTGGCCTGACGTAGGCACACCTCATTACCTACAACAGAAGCCAAATAGATTCTGCCACACTAAATGTTTCCTTTTTATTTACAGTGCAGCTGGGCATTTAGGTCTGCATTTTCAGCTTTTTGTCACTGACAAACTACCCGAGGAAAACAACTTAAGATCTCTTTGGCACGGAGGTTTCAGTCCATGGTCAGTTGTCCCTGTTGCCCCCAGGGAGAACATCATAGGAAGTGTGTGGGAAAGCAGCGGTAGCCAGAAAGGAAGGGGGAGAGAGGGGTGGGGGAGTGGCCAGAGACAATACACTTGAGTGACATGCCGCCAGTGACCAGGCTCGAAACAGGCTCATACACCACAGTTTCTCTCTCTCAGTAGTCCACTCAGTTATGTCTCTGTCAATGCGTCGGTGTTTTTATTGCTTCAGAATGATTCAG